TCTCTTAACTTCTTCCTTTCTTTTTCTCTCTTCTCTTCTCCTCTCCCTTTTTCTCCCTTTCTTTTTCTCTCTTTCTCCTCCCTTTTAACTTCTTCCTTTCTTTTTCTCTCTCCCCTCCCCTCCCCTCTCTTTTCTTCTCTTCCTTTCTTTTTCTCTCTTTTCTCTCCTCTGCCCTACTCTCCTACTTCTACCTCTACCTCTCCTTCTTTCTTTTGTTTCTTTCCTTCTCTCCTCCCTCCCCCCTCCTTTCTTTCTCTCTTTACTTCCTTCCTCCTCCTCTCCTCCCCTCCCCTCCTTCCTTTCTTCCTTGTTTCCTTCCTTCTTCTTCCTCCTTTCTTTCTCTTCTTCTCTCTTTCCTTCGTTCTCCCTTCCTCCTCTCCGCAGAATACCAGCCTTATCAACCAGAAAAAGAAGATGGAGTCTGACCTTTCCCAGCTGCAAACAGAGGTGGAAGATGCCATTCAGGAATGCAGAAATGCTGAAGAGAAGGCTAAGAAAGCCATCACAGATGTAAGTGAAATTTTCAGCACATCTATCTTTCCAAGCAAGCACTAATTCCAACAAGGGGCTATTTAGAAAGCATTGTTTCTGGGCTGAAACTATCCAAGTGACCAGCAGATGGCAGCAAAAGGGAGATTTCTGTCTCTCTTTACTGCCATCTTCTGGTCACTTCAATGCTTGCAAACCCAACCTGGTATCAGATAACAGAAACAGGAGTGGTTGATTTGGAACAGATGTCTTCATTGTGCACAGGGATTTATTATTACTAAATTAATGTCATGCTTTCTTTGATAGCTATTGTTAATTCAGAAAGGATTGCCGGTCCTGTCTTGAGATCAACTCCCAAGGCCAGCCATTCCTTTAATGTCCAAGAATAGTTTATGAGTTACAGATGAACTTCAGATAAAATCTTTGCTTTCTTTGTGGAAAAACAAAAGCTAAAAAGATGGAATTCACTTCTACACCTGAGGAAAGGGGCTCTGCTGCCCCTCCTCCACACATACCCTCCAGCCCACCTCTCTTCCTTACACCATAAAGCTGGTTTAGAAGATTCTGTGAGGAAGGAACAGGACAAAAGTTATGTGTGAAAAAGAAAGCAAGGCTGACCATGGAGTGTTTTATGAGGGAGGGTCTCCCCTCTTCTCTGTAACAACCCTGTAGGGCCAAAATACCTGCACGTTCTCCTGTTTTTAATAAGAAGATCCAAAGTCCATGAATTGAGACACATCAACAGGTTCTCCATTGGAGTGGTGCGGTGGCCTAGAGGTAGAACTCTCGTCTCACAATCAGGAGGCTGTGAGTTCGATCCTAGGTAGAGGCAGATTTCTCTCTCTCTGGGCACAATGAGAATATATCTGCTGAACAAAACTCCGCATTGGTGACAGGAAGGGCATCCGGCCAGTAAACACTCAGCTCCATTCAGTTGCCCAGATTCCACCCCGCAAGGGATTATGGGGTCATTAAATGAAGATGAACAGGTTCTCCCTTGCTTGGGTCCACCATCCCACTGGAGGACAGAGGCATCCTGGGTTAAAAGGAGGACCCCAATCGTAATCTTCACGTGAATAAGGAGGCTAGGATAAATTCTTGGAAGGAGTAAAAGATATGAGCGGTCTTCCCAACCCAAAGTCTCCTCCTTCTATCTGGTGGACATGTTTCTCTGTTGTCCTCTTGAATGGGGCAGGTGTCCATGATGGCTGAGGAGTTTGATTCACTTAACCCCAATGAGTAATAAGACTGAAACGAGACACATCTCCAGGTCGTCCTTTGCTTTGGTCCACCACGAGCATCAAAAGAGGACCTGTAATGTTGACATGAATAATTAGAATGTGTATTTAGGACTGATTTCCCAATTAATGCAAAGAGTGAAGCCTGGCGGACATCTTTTTTCTCTCGTCCTCTTGAACGGGGCAGGCGGCCATGATGGCGGAGGAGCTGAAGAAGGAGCAGGACACCAGCGCCCACCTGGAGAGGATGAAGAAGAACATGGAGCAGACCATCAAGGACCTCCAGATGCGTCTGGACGAGGCGGAGCAGCTGGCCCTCAAGGGCGGCAAGAAGCAGCTTCAGAAACTGGAGGCCCGAGTGCGAGAGCTGGAGAACGAGCTGGAAGGGGAGCAGAAACGCAGCGCGGAGAACGTCAAAGGGATGCGAAAGTGTGAGAGACGCATCAAGGAGCTCACCTACCAGGTGGGGAGATGCAGGTTAACCGTGACCAGGACAACCCTGATTCTGAAGGTTTTGTGTGGCTGGATGGATCGATTGTGGTGACTTCAACAAAGCTTTTGAGGCACTCTTCTAAAATGGGTGGGATGAGGAATTTGGGGTTGGTTGGATGGATTGAACCCCATTTCCTCCCAAAATCTTATAAAACATAACCCTTTTGTACATCCGAAACAAATTCCATGAGGCAAAAAAAATACTCTAGAATTGAGTTTCCTCAACTTTGGGTACTTTAAGACGGGGGGACTTCAACTCCCAGAATTCCAGAATACTCTAGAATAGTGTTTCCTCAACCTTGGGTACTTTACAATGGGTGGACTTCAACTCCCAGAATTCCCCAGCCAATCAGTTGAAGTCCACCCACCTTAAAGTACCTAACGGTGAGAAACAATGCTGTCGATTCGGAACCTCATCTAGGCTAGAATGTAACCATGGTTTAGAGAAGGATTTCCTTTTTTAAAAATGCCATTTTATTTCAATTTCACAAATGCTTCCCAAATAATTAAGAGCTCGTGATGCGACCTAAGAGGTGATCTTGCTTAAATTCGGTGATATAAACCAACTTTTTGCTGCAGTCAAACAAACCATCATCTCTCCATCTTGTTCTCTTCCGGTTCCTAGACTGAGGAGGATCGCAAGAATCTGATCCGTCTGCAAGACCTGGTTGACAAGCTCCAGTTGAAGGTGAAGGCTTACAAGAGGCAAGCCGAGGAGGCGGTAAGTAGCATCCATCTTTCTGTCCTTCTTCAGACTATCCTGGTTTATCACTCACCCTAGTTTATTTAGCCCATCTCAGGATGGAGAAGTTCACCATCCTTTCCCATCTCTGAATATCAATGGTTACCTCAATCGTGGTGACCTATCAGGACCCTCACCCAAACCTTCTCTCTCAGCTCCTCAACATTAGTCCATTGTCCTCGACTTACGATCTCTTTGCGACGTCATTAAGTGAGTCACGCCGGGTTTTTTTACCTTTTAAGCAAACCACATGGTCATTAAGTGAGTCTGGCTTTCCCTGTTGATTAAATGATGGTCACATTTGTAAATACCTGCCTATTTGCCAAATACCCAAATTGTGATCATGTGATACGGGGACACCGAGGCAATACGAATCAGAACAGAGCTGGAAGGGACCTTGGAGGTCTTCTAGTCCAGCCCCCTGCTCAAGCAGGAGACCCTCTAACATTTCGGACAAGGGACTGTCCAATTTCTCCTTAAAAACCTCCAAGTGATGAAGCCCCCACAACTTTTGGAGGCAAGCTTTTTCAGATATTGTGGGTGCGAGAATCACGTCCACAACATGCAGAGTTGTAAATGCGAGAAAAGTCACTTTTTTTCAGCCCAGCTGTAACGTCGGTCGTTAAACAAACGCTTGTACCTCGAGGAATGTTGTAACCCAAAATCATATTGGAAGCGCTTATATAGACAGCTGTAAATATGCTGTATGTCAATAGCCAAGGACCCGAATTAAAAAATAAATAAATCATGTGGTGGTCATAAGTGTGAGGACTGGTCGTAAGTGCGAGATTTACCGGTTGTAAATCGCTTTCCCCCCCCC